GTCTAAGTGAAGTCTAACGCAGTACATGTAGGGTTTTTGACCTACATTACATATCTACACGATGACCTACATTACATTACAATGTAAAAACTTTAATGTCTAAATTCATCCGCGATGTTTTCGTCTATACCGGCAACTTCAAAGCTTTATTTATTTATTTATTTATTTTTAATAGCCTGCATTTCTTATGTTATCGCCAGGATGCACAGTGCTGTATCCATTATTATAAGGATACAACAAGATTGATATGCAGGCGTTGCACTGTCAATTGCTAATTATTACGATATACATCACTCTATCAGAGTTAGCCTAAATGTCTTTTTGATTCTATCTGTCATGTTTATTTAAATTTAATTGGGGATATCAGATTAATGCCGATCCATTTTGTTTATTTAGATTTTATATTATTCTAATATAGCTAGAGAGAGAGAGAGAGAGAGAGAGAGCGCTCTCGTAACGGAATTGATGGTTTATGTCTTTAGCCAAGGAGCTGGTAGCATCATTGTTTCTAAAGGGATTAAAGCCACAGCTTCACTGTTAATAGAGAAACGCGGCAAAACTGGTAATTCATACATACACAGCCTCTCTCTCTCTCTCTCTCTCTGTTTTCGGAGATTACGTCTCTTTATATCGGGCAACCCCGGTTGTGTTCCTCTGCAGCCAGATTAAACCTTGCTGTAGCCTATATACTATGCTCTATTCATTATTTTTTAGAAACCTCGCACTTTTCTACTCAATTTTAAACAAATTAAGCGTGGTCCACTGCTGCACACGTGCCACAATATCGATACAGGGCCAGCTGTATCGATACTCGTATCGTCAAATCTCTGTGACGATACATCGTCGTATCGATATTTTGAACACAGCACTACTAATTTCCCCTTAATACACTCCTAGATAGATCTGTTGATGTGAAATCTTTTGAAGTTATTTTACATAAACCATGAAGAGAGAGATAGCTGAGCAGCAGTTATATGAAGTGTGTGTCCTTGAAGATTAAAGTTGATTTTAAGATTGGATTAGGCATGCTGTAGATTTTTCCCTTCATTCCATGGCATTTTAGCATTCCCAGTGTCAAATTAAATGTAAGCAGTTAGACCTGCTTTGCTAAACCTTTGAAATTCTGTAGGGGATCAAATTCAGTTGAGAGTTTCATGGAGTTTTTCAGAATCTGTGAGGTTAGTGACTGAAAATGCAGTAACGGACCACCACTTCACTCTTCGTCCTTCAAAATATCCAACTGAATGCCTTCGTTCACTCATACAGTGACTCCCACTACAAAAAAAAACATGTAGGATTGCTTCTCTGCGGGTATTAAAGTTTTCCTAATATGAGCGTTTTTAACAAAAAAAAAAGCTTTGTTTGGCCCCCTTGAGCATCCATCAAACCCACCGTTATTAATTCTGAATGAGTGCGAGCAATGGACCCTGGACCAATTTAAGAGTAACCTTGCTGAAATTGAAAATCCCTCTGGTTGTGCCCCCTGATAGTATCATTCAAATAAAATAAAAAAAGAACAAGAGATTGTGTGTGTGTGTGTGTGTGTCTATCTGCGGTGCACAGTACTGCAGTGCTTCTGCAGAGCAAAATGATGTGTAAGCATAATGGGACGTGATTCTGTTTCTTTGCACATGAGGAAGGGCCCAAAACATTGGGGGTCTGACTCTGATGTGCAAGTGAGCCACATATAGAAACTGAAAGCAGTGCCTCCGGTCCAATGGAGAAGACAACTGTCCCTGCAAGCAACAGCTTTGGCATTTCCAGTCCGAGTAGATAATGTCTGCTCAGATTGTCATGTGGCAACAATGCCACCTGGTGGCTATATTTGCATTTGGCTTTATGTTCAGAGATATTTGCTGTTTGCCTTGATCAACGTGATTTAAACCACCCGCATTGTTAAAATGAGGACAGGATGAGGACTTTGGAAATCTGGTCTTAGATCAGACAATCAGGGTTTTTTTTAGACAGCATTAGGGCATTTTTTTTATCTGTTTTTCTTTTATCATCTTGTCAGAATGTCTGCTCAAGATGAGGGCTTATTATTGTGTCAGAATTACTGATGAATTAAAGGGCTCGTATTGTGGTCGTGTTTGGGGGCGAAGGAGGAAACTTGTCAAACGGTAGCTGCACAGTTTCGAGTGGCCAATCAAAAAGAAAACACAAAGCAATTCAGAGAAGAGTCACCTTCATCACAACAGCTTTGATGTCCTAAAGGTCCTTTTTGGCTGTGCATTTTGAGATGTTTACACGCTTGTTACAGCAATGACATAAACTTGTCAGCCGTCACAGCAAAGAGTATCGGTTAAATAAAACACAGACAGGCCTACCTTTTCTAGTCAGACACACAAACACTGCCATGTAGGCAAACATATTGTTAAGTGAGTCGTCAGGCATGCTTATATTAATAACAGGATCTGATCTTGATAACCGGATCGGTTTCTTCGCTGCTCCTATTAGTGTGCAGTCTGATATAATTAGAGTAAACATAAATCATCAGAGCCAATCGAAAATCACGTCACACCAAACCTCTCTCACAGTTCATTGGAATGCTGTTGTGAGCTGACACTGAGAGGCTTCAGTTAACACAAGGGAGACGAATCCTCTCTATTACAGAGAGAAGAACTAAAACCAGACAGCTGAACACAGAAACATAAAGAAAGAGACTGAAATAGAGTGCAAGAAAAGAAGGAACAGAAAATCTCAGACAGATTAAATCCAGAAGAACTGTTGCAATGTCTCCAAG